AGCCTGGGGCGGGGTGGGGGGGAGACACGACCACTTCTGCGCCCCGTCGGGGCCTGGGTAGGCTCAGAGTCGCTTCGATGGCTTTGTCAGCCGGGAAGTATAAGAGAAAACAAACAAAAAAAAGATCCGAAGCCATCTCTAAGCGCGGCGAAAAGTCTCTCTTTTTTACGAAACGAAATGCTTTAGGACGCTGTTCAGTGCTCGGAGCAGTCGTAGCGCCTGCTGGCAAAGAAACGCAAACGGTGCTTCTGTTACTGGGGAGGTTTTCGAGAGACGTGTTAATTTGGGCAAGAGATAAGACCTGTTGATAGGGCTAATGGATGCCATTTGTAAAAAACCCTTCGGTTTTCTAGACATTTGTTGAATCAGCAGAGGGCCTGGTGGCCCCAGAGGAAGGAGATGAGGGGACGGTACGACCCGACTTTTAGGTCTGAATCCATTGGATGGCAGAGGAGACAAAAGTTCGCCAGGGGGACTGGCCGAGAAGGCCCAGTCCTCTGCAGTACGTTGGTAAACTGTCTTCTGTTACTCTATGTTTGGGAAGCAGGTCTGGGAAGTAGCTGTGCTACGTATTTGTATACTTCAGGTCGGCTGACAGACTCCCCATCACGTGAATCGTTATTACGTGCTCGAACCTTTTTGTGAATGTAATACAAGCATAATTTTTACAAAACGGGTGCTTGGAAGGAGTGGGTGATACTCAGAATGTTTCTTCTGTTTACTGTTTCTATGTCTTGGGTTTTTTTGTTTTCCAGGACTAGTATTTCAGTGGGAGGTTGGTCTAGATGACACTTCAGTGTCTCTTCCAGACTGAATTCTCCAATTGAGTTGGGCCACACCAAAGACTTTACATTCATTGTTGCTATTAGCACGACAGCCAACTGTAGTTTACTTATGTCAGTGATCCTGTTGTGTCCTCAGGACTCAGAAGCTGGGAACATCTTTTTTAACCTCATGCTCAGCTGTGACTATGGGTTGCTTTTGAATACATCAGTTTTGGTAAACACATAACAAAGGACATGACTCTAGTACAGAAATCGAATTAAATTACCTCTGCCTCAAAGAAAGAACTCTGAATTTAAGTGAAATGACGTATCTTGGTAGTTAAAAATCGTTTAATTGGAAACGTCCGTATGAGTTAATAACACTTTCAGATGAGTCTAGATTAAAGTTCTTGTATTCTGGCAACATACAGACTTCTTTCTTTGTGTGTAGTTCTTCTGATTTCAGTGAATTATTCGTTCTCCTAGAAGGTTGAATTAAGTGTGAAAGGGTGGAGGATTACAGTTCAAAGAATTTTTCTGACAAAATTTTCAAGAACATGATATCAAGCTAAGATGATGTTCTTTACATAGAGGATCAGTTTATTTTTCTTATTATTCCTTCTCAGTTTTTTGTTCTTAAATGTCAGTTTAAACCAGTATAGCTATTGCAGTGAACATGCCCTTCTCAGTAGCACAGAATGTGATGTTGGAGATACTAACTGGTCAAATTTTCAGACTCAGATCGCAACTAAAATTGCAGCAATCTCACCTTAATCTCTCTGGTGGCTAGTTTTCAATTCTGTGCTGCTGTACGATGACACAAGAGTTTGAGAAACTCCAGTATGAATTGACCTGATAAAATGATTCGCTGCTGCCAAAAGGGGAAGTATCCCTTGACCTGGCTTTGTGACCTCTGTCTCTCTTGTCCTACGGCAGAAATCAAATCTAGCAAAGTCTATACAGGTCTCCTCAAGGTTAGCAAGTTAAATGAGCTTTGTGGCAGGCCTGGTGAGTGCCCGAACAAGGTGGAGGGCAGAACTGTTCTGCGTAGAGACGGAATAGGAAAGAAAAAACAGACCTCTTTCTCTTGGCAGTAGATTCACTTTTATTATGGAACTTTTGTTTTGGGTAAGTGGAGGAGTTATTTTTAGCATGGACCAGTTATGTGATCAAAGTCACAGTACTCATACTTGAGGGGAATACGCTGTTAAATTAAGGTCGCCTAATATCTTGGTGTGGCTGCCAGAACCCTGCTATGGTCCAGCTGTGACTTCTGTGGCTCTTTCAGAAGCTCTTGATTTTGAGGATCCCTCTTCCCACTCCTCATCTTGTTATTTCTGTAGCCAAAGTTTAACACAGCATTCAGCTATTCACTCAATTTAAAATGGATTTGTGAAACAATCTGTCTGGTTTTGATGGGTTTGGGGGCTGGTTGTTCATTAAATTTTGTAGATTCATATATTCGAGTAGTGATCAGCTGTGCTAGAAATGAGCAGCTGGTGGTGAAACTGGAAGAAGAAAACAATGGTCCTTTTAAGAGGTTAAAAAGAGTGGTAATGTAGAACCACAGCTAAAACCAAACATTTTGCCTAAAAAATTCTTGAAAACTTGTTCTCTAGTTAGGAATTAAAAAGTCTGGTCACTTCCTCTGTCTAAAGAAATGAAGAACTGTAATGGAAGTAGCTTAGAGTGAATTATTTAGTGCATGTATTGCTTCTAAATATCTAAAGACCTTGAACGTTTTGCTTTTTAGAACAAATATGCATGAACGAGTGAACAGAACAGAGAGGCAGTTTAAATCTCTCCCAGCTAATCAACAGAGTCTTCTTCCGCAATTCCTTCCTCACCTTGACAAGATTCGGAAGTGCATTGATCATAATCAAGCGATTCTACAGACCATTGTGAATGACTGCGTTCATATGTTTGAGAATAAAGAATATGGAGAAGATGTATGTTAAAATAGACTTTTTCCTACTCCAAAATTAAATTCTGTACGCTTTGGGATTTTCTGCGTTTGTTTTTCACACCATAAGGCCTCCGACTTTCTTTCCTTTTTCCTTCTTTATTTTCTCCTTTCTTCCTGGTTACTTATATTTTCTCACTCTTGTCTTTCACGTCATATAGAGCAATTGTTCAATAAAACTTGTTAGTCCTTGTAGTTACACTTATGAAAACTAATTGTGAATCTGGCAAATGACAGTAGTTACTGTAAAACTCCAGAGTTGTAGCTCTACCCCGATTACATTTTAAAGTTATTTCTTTCAGTTAACTATGTAGAGAGTAAATGATATTGCTTGTCTTACTGTAGATTATTATATCTTACGGCATTCTAAATCATTTGCAATTTTAGATAGTACAAGTATTTTAATGTTCTCATACATAAAAACTTTTTCACTACTTAACTGCTTTTTCAGTGTGGCATTTAGCAAAAAAAAAATGCACTCAGACTTGAAAGACTGGCAGAGATGGAAACTGAAATACTTTTTTAGTATCTGCAGGCAAGATATAGTAATGGGCAGCTCTAATGTGAGCTGCTTAGTGTTTCCTCATCAGTACCTAAAGGGATCCTCTTCTCAGGGTAAGCAGTTCAGCCCCTGCACTAGCTAAGCCCTGGTCCTTTCCTGAATAATGACTACCGGTTGTGCTCTGCTATGCCATACTATGTATTGGTTTTTTGATGTGGAACCTAGTCTCTTGAGTGCTGAACTGAGACCAGCAAACTCAGTTTGTTTAGGATTCTAGGCTGGATTTGAGCCCTGGTCGCAGGAGTGAAAGGCAAATGCTTCGTCAGCTAAAACTCCCAACAGCCCTTATAGCATGTGTTTTGTCTGTTTATAATTTTTTTTTTTTTTAAGACTAAAAATACTGGTACATTTTCCTCTAACTTTTTTTTCCCCCCTACTTTAATCAGGGAAGAGGGAAGATAACACCAGCTTCAACATTTGACATGGATAAATTAAAATCCACTTTGAAACAATTTGTGAGAGACTGGAGTGAAGAGGGAAAGCCTGAGAGAGATGCCTGCTACCAGCCAATCATTAGTGAAATTGTAAAGAACTTTCCTAAAGAAAGATGGTAATAGTGTTTTGAGACGTATTTTTATGTGGGCATACACTGTTGCATGAATCTAACAAAGTTTTTATGGGGTAATGAAAAGCTTGGATTTAAAAATTTAGAAATTACAGAGAATGCAGTGAAATTTATTCACATTTAATCAAGGAAGTTTTTGTTTCTAATACAAGGTGTTGGAAAACAGCATAATCATAAACTTCACAAAGGAATACCAGGTAAACCAGAAAATTTTTTTTTTCCCTTGCAGCTTGATGTAATGGGATATCTGTTAACTTTTCAAGTAAGAGACTTCAGGAAGCTGTTAAATTAACTCATTTGTGCTCAGTAAGGTAAAGTTTGCAGGTTAGCCGGTTCTCAGAGTGTGTGTGCTGCAGATAAAAGGAAGGACCCTTGTGACAGGAGAAAGTAGGAGCATCTCCCTTCGTGGTGGAAGGAGGGAAGAAGACTTAACCTCTAGTGCAGTTTTATTGCACTAAGAATTTACCCTGCAAATACTTGGTTCTGCAAATAGTTAGGTTTTGGACAGGTGTTACAGGGCAATTCTTAAGCTTTGCTCCATGTACCTTTGTAAGTGCATGTACCTTTGTTACTGTGTTGGCTTGTTAACACCACCAAAATAGTAATTGGTGCAGGGTTTTTTAGGTAATTTTAGGGAGCAGTATACTGGTAGAATCTCAGAAGATGCTACTGCTGTAAGAATTCTATGTTTAATGGTTCTAGCATTTAGTTAGCCCAGTCATCATAAAGTACATCACAGTTTAAACTTGACACTCTTATAATGGGAACATAACTTTACTCATAAATATAATGGGTCAGAACTTAGGTTTGATATAGCTGGGTGTTACTGTGGGTTTTCTTCTTTCTCAGTAATTGCTAATAATGCACTTGTACCAATTTGAAAATACCTTCCACTAACCGTCTTTTAGTTTGCATTAGTAAAGACTGGTGGTGGCAGAACATGGAGTGGACACGGTTGGTTGGTTTCTGTTTTGCCTTGTGCCAGCTTATCTCAAGGTGGATGCACCTTTTGTCTGAAGGTGAACTTTCTGCAATGTTTTTAGTGCTAATAGTGCCCTACATAAGATAAAAATTAATTAAATATGGTAGGTTACGTGATATACCTCTGATGTGCAGATCTGTAGGAGAAGTCATAGTTTTGAAAGTAATCACTCTGATCTTCAAGGTAGCAGTTCACCTTTTCTCTGTAAGATACCTTTTAAAGCATTTTCATTAAGGGAGATGTAACTTACGTCAAATCTTAGAGATCTGTAACTGAAGTTGGATGATCTTGACTTTTATCATCAATGAACAGTATTTCAGAACCTCCAGTTGGTATTAGGAAGCAACATGTGGTGAATCTGAAGTTTGTAGATTTGTGCTTCTTTACCAGGATTTTTGTTGATTGTTCTCAAACGCAACTAGTTTGACAGTGCTTCGGTCCCTGTTGTGATGGCACTGAAACACCGGTTGAGTTTTTTATCTCTACAGAAATCTCAAACCATCACTGTATAGATCAAACATCTCCACTGCAAGTTTGGGTTTGCCAAATGAAAGATTTTATTTATAAAATATGCATTACATACCTAGTCAAAAGTTAGATATTCATGATCTTTATGGAGCTGTCATAGCACTTATGTAAAACCTTCTCTCTGTTCAAATATTGTTATTTACTGTTGTCAACTCGCTCTTTTTGCTAGTGACCAGAGTATCTCCTGCTTGGGTGTACTTGCCTCTTTAAGGCAAGAAGCAGAGTCGATCAGAAGGGCCTGTTCTCTTTGTGTATTATCAGGTGAAACTGGCAGTGGCGCCTCACCCTTGTGTGAGAAGCAACTTGCCTGACAGGGCAGGCTGGCTGGTCAGTCTGGTTCCTTTTTTACAGTTTTGGGGGGGAGCAGTTGTTTCAGTTTGAAAGGGGTGGACAGGGCCTGAACTGACCATAGTCAAGTTCTTTTGGTTGTTTTAGTGGGTGCAAAGTCTGTTTCTTCTAGAGAGGACTGGCTGTGGGCGCTAATGCAGGAAAAGAGCCTGTAGATGGAACCTCAGAGTGCAGTTTTGCATTTCTTTAGAGTTCCCTTTTACAGTACAGAGTGCTGGAGTCTCCAGAGATGATGAAAGGAAACTGCTACAGAAAAAGTGTATTGTTGCCACTGGGTGATGAAAACAACTTTAGATGTATTTTGCATTGAAACAGGTGGAGAAATAAATATTTTCAATTTAAAGCTGTCAGTACCAGTCACCTTTCACTTCTTAACAGCTCAGATGGAATCGTACGTTCAGTTTCTACTTAATGTTAACATTGCATTGGAATCATGTGAAAAAGGAGTTTAAATTTTTGAAAGTATTCAAGCGTGTGCATGCACATGTTGTGTTGTTGCTCTTTGTTGCGAGATCAGCCTGTATTGGTTCAGTTGCTATGCAGAGAACAGAAGAAGCGAAGCGCCCTGTGTGCTTCCTCCTCTGGGAAGCAGAACAGATACAAGCAATGGTTGAAAGCAGCTGTAAATCAGAAGAATCTTGTGAGTAGGTGCTACTGTTACCTTGTGTTTCAGTCCAGTCTTCTGAGAAGACTGTCATCTAAAAATAAAATGGCAACAACTGTTTCTGCTGCCCATTCCTCTTCAGAAATAATTCCTTCTTTCTGCTTAGCACAGAATCTGTTAGTAGGATCAACAAAACAGTTTTAAGTGAAGTCCCATGAGATAAGGTCTTCCTGAAGAACTGATAGATTTCCTGCATTATTCATGTTGGAATTTGTGTTCCAGCTCACAGGGTCTCTGTAATATCATCTAGCTTTTGATAAAGTCATCTGAATGTCTTGGATTTGACTGAACCATGATCACTGCTTTCTGTAGGACAAAATAGTAAAACGTAGCTACATTTTTATTTCTTGGTGGAATGCGTTCATTAAAGCATTTTTATGGGGAAACATTAAGTTGAAAATCTAAATAAACATACCGATATATTTTTTTCTAATTTCCCTTTTATTCTGTCAGCTTGATTTTCTTTCACTTCTATTGTTATCCTTCCTACTTATGTGAAAGAATGTAAACATCATCAGCTTCTTATCCAAAAGGAACCAAAGAAATGGTTAACCTTGTAGTTAATTATCATTCCATGGCCAAGAACAGTAAACTCGGGTATTTTCTCCAAAGTTTTCTTTTATTCATTAACTTGGCCTCTGGAACCACCTGTAACTTGAAATTTAAATCTGTCATGCTATCTAGCAATTGATTGCATTTTCCAAGAGACAGGACAGCCCAACAGAAGTTGCCAGTGCTTAGTTTCCTTTTCATTTGAAAAACACAGCTTCTTACTCCTAAGGCTGAGCTTGGCTATACTTCTTGCATGTCCTCAGTCAGATTTATAGTGATGATAAAATTTCTGATTTGTATGAATTTTATTTAACTTTATGTAAAATACATCTGTCCCTGCAGGGATTTTAATCTTGTCAAAAATTGTGCTTAACCTAAACTTTCCTTTAAACATTGGATTTAGGAGCAAACTATATCTTCAGGGTCCGCTGAAGGCTTTGTAGGTCTTTACATGGAAGTATATAAACCTTGGGTATTAAGTTTGGAGAAGAATTGCTTTTCAAATTATTCTGCTTTTTATGTACCTTCATTATTTTATTTGAAAAGTAGTTGCCTTAAAAAAAATACTGCTGAAAATATGATTACAGTATAATAATGAAAAATACCATATCAAGAGTCAGATTTGTTCACTATCTAAATTTACAAACATTACGGACATAAGATATCAGGAAAGAAGGAGCCCCACACTCTGGTTCTATGCTGATGTTTGTACTGGTTTTCTGTGTGTGAGCTGTATATTTCTTATCACTTCTTATCATTAGATAACATTGAATTGCAATGTTTAGTTTATGAAAATGAGGTTTGTGTTTGGTCATACACACTAATTTTTCTTTCGCCGAACTTCAGTTTACCCCTTCAGCACCATCATTTTTTTTTTGTTAAAGCACAATATGCATAAAATAAGAACCTTCTTTTTTTGTCATGTAGAATTTTTCCCTTAAAAGAAGGACACCAAGTTAAAGTCTTCATTAATGTTCTTAAAATTCCAAAAGCTGAAAGTATATCACACTGCAAAAAGTAGTACAGTAATGGCATGACAGATTTTAGTTGTTTCTGGTACTTCTCTGCTATCTTTTTTTAAGAGACTGCTGCAGTTTCAATAGTATCAGTTATCACAATTTGGGATTTTTTTAAATTGTCTTTGCTAATACTTACATATCTACCAAAGGAAAGCAGGTTTTTCTAGCCTCCTACATTACATTGTAACCATTTAGCCATTAAAAAAAGCAGTTTCTATGCAATTAAAAATTTTTAGCTGTTGTAACGATTCAGAAACTAGCATAATGTAGTGCACTGGAGTGCTCCCATTACCACTGGTTTCATACCTTAATTTTTTTGAAATTCATCAACAGTTGGTCACTAACAATTCTTTTTAAGAAATTTTTCTTGAAAAGCGAAAAGTGTTTGAGCATTTTTTTTTTTATAGCAGGACACTGTCAACAGTCATTATTTTTTATGCAGTAAGTTTGCCACATACCAAATTTCTCTGATTATGGATTAAAAAAATGCTTTTGAACCATTTTGGAAGGGTAGTGTCAATGTTGGTAGGCTAAGATTTTTATTATATTGTGTTCTATTAGCTATCATCTGCATGCTGAAACAAAATTAGTGGCCAGCACCAGGCCCTAGCAACGAGTAAGAACACTATAGATAGAAATTAAATTGCTAACAAGTTTCCAGACGGACTTCAATCCCTTAACAAAGGTGAAAAGGGAAGTGCAGTTAAGATCAACTATTTTCAAAGAGAGAATTGGGAAAATTAGTTCAGAGATAGAAAAGCTTTATATTGTGAATAAAAAGATGTAAGTCAATGACAAGCAGTTTAAAAATCAAAATCAACTCACCTGTTACAGGCTTTATCGTGTTTTAGGATGAATAAAGGTGCAGATTTTAGAATGTGTTTACACCTGCATAGCTCGTTGTTAGTGTTTTAAGAAAAATGTATCATACATTAATCAATGTACGTGGCATAAGGCTTTTTCAACCCACGCATTGTAGAGCTGCTCACGTGGAGATGCAAAAATCTGTGTAGAGCTAGTCTAAATATTTAGTAAAGTTAAATTGTAAGGAAATGAAGAAATAGGTTAAGTTAGAAATACATTTGGAATAACAGTGAATAGATATACCACTACGACTAGAAAAGGCTGTAAGGCTGAGGGTTTTTCTGGCTTCTCCCAGAAAGTGGATTTTCTTCTTCCTTTTGGATCCATATTTTCAAAAATTTCATCCTGAGCAAGTAGTTTTCCCCTGAATTACTCTTTCTTTTTTTCAGTAGGACTTCCTGGCTAGCTTTCTTCTGCCTTTCCTTGTAGAAGAGAAGTAAGGAGAACTGTTGCTTCACAGAAGGGCCCTTATGTGATGGCAAAGTCTTGATTTCCTGCTTCTTGTTAGTTAGAAAACAAAGAAACTGGAAACATAATGGAGTGGAAATGAAAATCAGGAATGAGGAGAACTTTGATTTTTTTTTTTTTTTTTTTTTTTTTTTTTTTTTCCATTTGGGAGGCTTCACTAATTACATGATTAAGCCACAAACCAAAAGGCACTGTGAAAACTGCTGTGTTAGTTTGTGTGACCTTTAAAAAACAATGCTTTCTTTTGGTTTTGGCTAATAGTGTTCAGAAATGTACTATTCAGAATTTACATAACTCTCTCACTCATCTTTATGCTTATGCAGCATGCTAACTCTTTTGAACTGCTTTTGGCATCCTGTATTTTTATGTAGTCAAAGGTTTTGCATTTTGCTTTCTTTCATCGTATGTTTGGAAGTGCTGGTTGTGGCTTCCTTCATTTAGTTGCATGGAAGTTGACAGATGTATATTTTTGTCTTGGAAGGTGACATGCAAAAGAGTGGGTAGTGTGAGTGTACACACTTCTCATTTTGGTATATGAAATTATGAATTGTTCACAACTGCAAAATGAAAAATTCTTTTTAGATCAAGTATCTTTTCAGTTTGGTATGTGAGTTTTTTTGTTTCATGAGCGAAGGTTTGATTGCATAGTGATGGGAAGTCTAATGGTTAGAATATGTATATATTGCCTTTTCTGCCTGAAAGAGGAGAAAATTTTGAGATTCTTAGTTCTTCTGTTAGTTGCTGAACTTGGAAGATGGGGTAGGTTTTTCTAGGTATCAGACACACTGCTGGATGTCTTTTGGTCATCTTCAACTTGATGTCTAGTTACAGGAAGTGAATGGTTATAGAGAGCTGCAATGTACTTTGATCTAGGAAATTTTGGATCACTTAATGTGCTTGAGTGAAATCAGTGTACAGCATATGTAAAACCCACAGTTGCTGAGAAGGTAACTACTATAAGGTTTTTACAGCCTGAATTGCTCATCGGCTTATGGAAGTTTTCTTTGTTTTATGTTTCTGATGTCAAAAGCCTTGTTTATTTTCCATGCAATGTAACCAAGAAGATTTCTTGAATGTTTACTATTTATCAGTGGGTGTCACAGAAAAATAAATCGTGATATATGATAATGTTCTTTCTTCAATTCATTGAAGAGATTTTTAGCTTGATAACTGTGTAAGTTTTTTTTGAAAAAAGTTGTTTTGTAATTATGCTCTGTATTCTGAATGAGGGTTTTAATGTTCTTTTGAGTCGTTTCTGTGAATTATTTTGACGGTACAGTTAACTAGTCTAATCAGAACTGGCTCAGTTCGCATTTAAAAAGTAAAGTCATACAGGAAATACATTATAATATCTAAGTATATGGGGAAGAAATGTTTGATTGGCCCTCTGTAAGTTTTGTTAAGCGGTATCGAATAAAGACTTAACTATTATTTTTGTTCTGTTGCAGGGATTTCTCCAAAGTTAATATCCTGGTACCTGGTGCTGGGCTAGGTAGATTGGCGTGGGAAATAGCTATGCTCGGTTATGCTTGCCAAGGAAATGAATGGAGCCTCTTTATGCTCTTTTCTTCTAACTTTGTACTCAACAGGTACATAGCTTATGTTTTACTTGCTGATTAAAACTTAGGGAGGCAAAATTATTAATGAGAAAAACTTGAATAAGTAAAACTCACAAGAATAGATTTAAGTCCTAACACAGGACACACATAACCACTTTTTAGAATGTTTTAATGAAAAAAAAAATTAGCGGGATAAATGGGGGAGGGAAGCATTGTATCTAAGTCATTAAAATTATAGCAGGAAGCATGGCTTTTAAGTTGTGAGACTTAAAATCTCTAGATTGTATTACAGATTTTGTGCATAATCTTGAGTAGGTTTTATGATTGATTTCACATCTGTTTCTGTAAAATGCATGCCTGTTTCACTGGTGTCAAACATGAAATAGTTAATATGTGCATGCTAATTAGTGGTGGTGATTAGTAACAAAGGAAACCTGTTAAAGGAAGTGTTACATTCTGTACTAAAATTTTAGGCACTGTTTCGACATGAAAAGCAACCACTGAGGCACGCTGAACCACTTCTTAAACAAGTGGCTAAAATAATATAGTTAATAGTTCTACAGTTATGCTGAGGTACTAAATTTGAATGTAGTGAATTTCACTTTATGGGTTTAATTTAGTGACGTTTCTGTATTTGGTGTTCTGTCACTTGTATGGGAGAGTACTTGTTTCATAATGAACTTGTTAGAGAGGAATGAAGGCAACGAATGAAACTCTTTTAAGAAACAGGGTGGGATGACTATGAGTGGGCAAGTATAAAAGAGATCTAGGGGGGTGTTTTTGTTTTTTTGGGAGAGCTGGTACCAAGTTCAGAGAGACAGAATTTGCCAGTTCATTCTTCAGTCTGAAATGGTACACCTTTGCTGAAAACACCTAAACTATTGTCTTGTATACTATATTATCATGATGTTTTGGAGCCCTGTTTGTAGACTGATTGTTCACAGTGGACTGTGATGATCTTAAATGTGTTACAGCCTACTATTCAAAAACAGCAAGGAGAAAACACTTTGTATTATGGCTGCTGCATGTTTGCTTAAAGCAGTAGTGGTCAATGTGATGAAAATAGGTATTTGGTAGAGGTTTATTTGTTCTTACATTATTCTGAAATGACTCTTATCTGGTGGTGAAATTGCATATTACAGTTGAGCTGATCTAATGTCTTGCAGCTACTGAAAGGAGGTCACATTCTTCACAACCTTTGCTCTACAGCCCTGCTGGCTCTTAGGCTCTTTGGAACTTCTGAATTTATTCAAAGCAGCATAAACGTATTCATTTTCCCATCTTTGGGAGCAGTGATGAGCTGTCATAGGAGTTCAAACCTGAAAGCTAATTTCATGCCGAATTACCTCTGATCACATGTGTTTTTGTCTTCCTTAAATAATGAGTCTTTGACCTATCTGTGGAATTCTCATGACGATCCATGCTTATGATAGTAATCATTCTTAGCATCTAATGTTCGTGTGGTGTTTCCCATTTATGTAAGACATTTAACAAAGGAGTGCATATGCATTAGACTTGCTGATAGATTTCAGACAGCAAAAATAAGTGGTGTTCATCTGTTGTAATCTTAATCTTCATCTTTGCTGGGTAAGTTATCACTTGCAAGTTTCCTTGTTAGCGTGGAAGAGAATACTGCTAACTTGAGTCTGAATTTTGGTCAGTTCAGTTCAAGTCCAAGCATTCCTTTCTGCCAGAATGTGGGCTTGGGATGTTTGTTAAGAAGGTTTTAAGGACTTTGGGGATCTTTTCATTTTAGTCTTAAGTGGCTGTTCCCAGTTAGCGTTGTTGAAATGGACATGTTTGCCTTCCTGGAAAAGGAAGAAATAGCAGTGATAATATGAGCTGAAGATACCAGATAATATGAGCTGAAGATACCAGTTAAGGAAGAGTGGTAGGAAGAAGCGAATTTGCAAGTTAGTTTTTAACTACAGTCTAAAGTTTGGGGTTTTTTTTCCCCAGTTAATAAAAGCATGAGAATTTTGCTAATGTGTGCTTACAGTTTGGATGTACCTTCTTTCTCTGGCCTTGGTTTATATTTAGGAAGACTAAGTACTGTCTTGAATGTCAAGCCAGCTACTCCAGTGGGCACCTAGATGTGGTACAGCCACTAAAGTCTTCAGTATACAAAGTTGTATCTGCTGATTTTTACACATGTAAAAAAAAAAATCTCTAAAATTTTGAACTTGTCACTGTGGATAAAGTTGCATAGCATGGTATGTAGAGAGTGCATAAAGGCTTAACTGTGGTCACTGTAAGTATTTGAAATTAGTTAGAGTGCATTATTCCATTGAAGAAGCTCTAACTTGAAAATAAAGTGACCCTGGAGCAGTTAAGCTACAGTAGCTCCAAGACTGCTGTAGTCCTTGTATGGGAAATTGTGCTTTTTCTTGTATGGGTAATATTAAGGTGTTTCTCTTGTATTCTTACTGCTGGTGTATTTTTCTAGCGTTTAGATGAGTTCTGGATATCATGACAGATGGCAGAGGTGATGATTGGTTATGTACAGATGCACTTCATTTCTTACATTTTTTCAGAAGGGCAAAAACTGTGGAAAGCATAATCTGTTTTCCTGCCTCTGGAAAGCACTCCAAAATTTTCAGGCAGTGTAGAGCCACAGGACACACGTTACTTCCTGTTGACATCTGACAGGAGGGGAAACGCCACTAGGATAGTATCTGTGTGGAGGAGACAGGAGCTGACCTGCTGGTTTCTTCAGCTGGAGATTCAGAGCGTAGGGTCAGTAGCCATGGTCCAACAATCTTTTATAGCAACAGTCCCACTTGCAAATATTTGAGAAAGTTCAGCTGGAGTAATACAAAGTCACTTTGTACCCAAGTCAGAGTAGAGTTAGTTTGAAAAAGCTTTAATTAATACTGATGTGCAGAGTCCCACATCAATACCAGTAGAATTCATGCTAATTGGCTAATCTTTACTTTCTGGAAAGAATTCAACTAGATAAAGCTTGGCACTTTGAGAAGGCTGCTTAATTGTGTTTGTTGAGTATCCATGAATGCCTTAGGATGAAAACAATTAAGCATTTTTTCTTTAAATCAGTGGTCAGCAGCAAGATTTGACCTACCCATCTCTTCTAGAACTGTCTTTTTTACTGAGTGTTGAACAGTAAATGCCCTGCCCCTATGGAAAAATTGAAGTGCTTCACACTTAAGGATGTTAGATTTCTATAACATAAATAGTACATTTTTGGTTGGAAGGATGGAATTGTAAAGGACTGCAGGACTTCAGTTTGGAAGTATAAGTTAGTGAAGCTGGAAAGGGAGGTGTTCAAGCTTTAATATGGAGAGGGATTGGTCTTTTACATTAAATTGGAAATTCCTTTTGGAACTGTGCGAAAGTCTACATGAATTATACGTTATGCTTGGGAAAAAAAATACAGGGAGGTGTGTGTTCCTGTATATAGCTCACAAAAAAACTCCTTCCTAATCTACTCGGATGTCATATTTTCTTTACTTTTGGGGAAGTTTTAATTGTTAAAGAAAAATACTCTGAGGATAATGCAAATTGGCTGGGAACGTACTGAGAATTCTAGAATGGTTAACACACAACTTTTGCTGGCCAACGTGGGGGGCTTTTGGTGGGTTTTTTTGATGTACTGGTGGGTTGTTGTTTTGTTTGTGGTTTTTTAACCAAAATAAAAATGCCTTTCTTGAAGAAAATGATGCCCATGTTATCAGGGCTTTTTTCCTGCTTTTTTTCTTTGATTGCATATACCAGTTCATGAGTGCAGTGTACTGCTGTGCAAATACAGGTGGTTTTTATATTTTTTACTGATAAAATGAAGTATAAATATGACGTGAAGAATGTGGAAAATGTTATTTCAAAGACTTTACCACAGATGGTTTCTATCCACCAGCCAAAATAGTGCACTTTCTGTAACCTGATAGATTGCTTGCAGTTTATTAAGTGTTTGATGATATGTGTTTTATCGGAAAGATGTGTCCTCTGTTATCTCTGAAAGAAAATGGCTTCATTTTTTTAATTACAAACTGATTTTACGGGACTGTGGGAAAGGCTGCTTTTTATTATTTTAATGTTATATTTTACCACTTTTTAAAATATCAGTTGACTTAGTTGTTTGTGTCAACCCACAGATTTTATTTTACAAGGACATGTTCACTTTGCATAATTGCAACACTCCAGATGCTACTAACTTAAAATGACATCTAGTGCAAAACTACTATGCTTTGCAAAATAGAATTTATTTTTTGAAATGTAAAAGCATCCTTTCAGTTAGCATCTGAAAAATGTTTTTGTTCTGCTGTGCTTCAAAACCTCTATGATTATGGTTCAGAAAAGACACAGTAGTCTAGAATGAGAACAAATGTTTCCAGTAAAATTCATGGAACTAATGTTACTCACTTTCTTTTTTTAGAATAGAAAAAAAATATTATCCAGAAGGGCTTAGCCTTACTAAATATAGTAGATCATAAATTTTGTTAATCTTACAAAAGAATCTTGTGTATTTTCTTTCCAGTGGAGAAATAAGTCAGAAAATGGTAAAAAGTGGGAAAACCTCAAAATTAAAAAAGGCAATTATTTTGTGGTGATAATTTGTACGTCAGAGTAAAATTGTGTTTTTTTGGTTCATAGGTTGAAGGGCAGTCTGAAGTGCTATGAACTAGATAAGTCATTTAGAAAACACGTAGCTTCTTGCAAGAACTCTATCCACAAAACAATGGGTGTTGGTGAAAGTGACTCTGTTTCTAGATAATAGATAAACAATTGGTTGAAACTGAATTGTGATGGTTTTCGTATTTTGCAGATGCTCTGAAATTAACTCCTGTAAGCTTTATCCTTGGATTCATCAGTTCAGCAATAACAGAAGATCTGCTGATCAGATACGTCCAATTTATTTCCCTGATGTTGATCCTCACAGTCTTCCTTCTGGTTCAAACTTCTCCATGACAGCAGGGGATTTTCAAGAAATTTATTCCGAGTGCAGTGAGTACATGCAAACGTTTAGGCTATCCATGTATCTGTATATTCATAGTATTTGTTATGGGACGGTTAATGATTATAAATGGAAGGGAACTGTATCTACAAGCATTAAGCAAAAAGTACGAACTGTAGTAAGATTTTCTTACTCCAAATCAGCTTTGCATTCCTCCTTAGTTATAAAAAAATACGGACACCTCCTTGCCTAACAGATCTTTGTTGCAGTAGTTTCTCTCAGAATAAGAGAGCATAGTAGTGTTATGGAAAGGTTTACTTGCTTTAGAAAAGTGATGTTACATAGAGAACAATGTAACTAGTCACTTCTCTTTATTAGTGTAAAAAATAAATGAGTATTTTTTGTTGATTCATTTCCTGTTGTAAAAGCAAACTGTTTCAACAGTAGTAAATTATAAATGAAAAAAATATAAACTTATTGCCTGTCAATAGTAAATATTTCAGACGCATATTATGGGGATCATAAAGATTGAGACTTTTGTCAAAAAAAAGAACAAAGAACCTTATTTTTCCTGTGATATCATGTTAGTTCTCCTGTCCTCATTGCAGCTGTCAAGTAATGTTTTATGACTAACCTAATGTTGAATCCATCTGCAGAAGACTGTCTTATTCACTGCCTACTCTACCTATTACGTACTTAGGCTTTGGTCAAGGGTAGCACTTGCCTAGTTCTTTTTATATTAGTCTAATATTCTAATATATGCCTATTTAGAAGTCACTATTTTCTTGTTACGCAGTACGGGATTATCACCTCAGACATCCATTTTCTGTTTCCACCTTTCTGTCCATATTAGACCCATAGCAATTTTTCACCAGGATTATATGTATAGCTATTGATTTGCCTCTTACTGTGCAGCTAGACTCCAAGGTATTTCCTTGTAGAAGACTTCCTTATAGTTGCTTAATTTTCTGAAGGTTCTGTCTTACATTAGAATGTATGATACTGGCATAAATTGAGACTTCTAATTTTTTTTATTTACAGAACTTAAAACTTTTGCAATTTCAAGGATACATGTTTAGAGGAAAACAGGGAGACTCGTGCTTTAAAAGGCAGGCTTTGAAAGATCATGCTTGTTAATTTAACTAGTGAAAAACAGCTGGAGAAATAGTCAGACACTGAAGAAAATATAGAATCATAGAAAGATTTGGGTCGGAAGGGACCCCTAGAGGTCATCTAGTCCAACCCCCCCGCAGCGAGCAGGGACACCACTAACTAGATCAGGTTGCTCAGAGCCCTGTCCAACCTGGTCTTGAATGTTTCCAGGGATGGGGCCTCCACTACCTCTCTGGGCAACCCGTTCCAGTGTTTCACCACCCTCATTGTAAAGAATTTCTTCCTTATATTATATATTATATCTTCCTTATGTTATATGTATATAACTTATGAAGCTGTGTGATTTGTGAAAGTACGCTTCAGTGTGACGACTTGTATTGTTCTAGATATTAACTAGAGAGGCCCAGAATTGCTGGGTATTTTTACAGTTGCTTTATCAACAGTTGTCATAATGAAGTTCATAGGACAGGTAAGTAATAGCACACTTTGCCTTCATTTATAGAAAATGTGCTATAATATTTACATTGTACAGTACATAGTAGGAATAGATCTCATTTTAAATAATGTGCATACAGAATGTTACAAAATGCATAAATAGTAAATATGCATCATATTTTAGAGTGTGTATGTGTATACACACACATATAGGTCACACAAACTTAAACTTTACTGTTGTTAACGCAAAACAAAATATTTATTTCAAAACTAAATTAAGACCCTTCTACTGTTAGTTGAAGGTAATGCTGAGTGTGTAAACAAGCACTGGGGTTAAATGATGAACTTCTACAGGGGTCGAAGCATTTAAACTAATCTCTGTATACTTTGCGCTCTTTCTGCAGATACATGGGACTGCATAGCAACTTGCTTTTTCATAGATACAGCACATAATGTGATTGATTACATTGATACTATATGGAAAATACTAAAGCCTGGAGGAATATGGATAAATGTAGGCAAGTGTGACCAACCTCTCTTCCTGCTATCCCTGACTTACATTTGATCACGTAACAGGCATCTAATACTTAAAAAGAGTTGTGGGGATGAATGTGTCTGTGCTGAAAACTGCACAGAGCTAGAAACATCTAGGCCTTGGAAATTATCTCAGATGTGTTCAGAATATGTCCAGACACTTACTAGTTACAATCAAGTCAACAGCATGTGATTTTTTAAATACACAAGTAAATCTTCCCAGTGGCAGGCTTTGCTTTTTTTCTGTTTTTCTAAGAAAATGGAACTTGTTCTGTGTGTAAATACACTTTTGCACTTTTTTCTTAATCTGTCTAATTTGTACTGTGCTTCTAAGTAGAAGCTTTGGGAATGAGATTTATGTATGCCTTGGCTCAAAAGAATAGACTTAATTGAAGTCTTCCATGGTGAAGGAATGGCAGAGAAAACTCAGGAGTTAAAACATTTTGTATAGTAGAAACAGGCCAGTCAGCCACTATACTAGTCCTGGCCAGTCACAGAATGCAAGCAAAGCTCCTGAGTAGACCACAGCATGTCCTGCCTTCTGTTCTGCAGACACAGCAGTGATGCTAGACTGAAGAAATTTTAAGATACAGGAGATGAGACTTCATTGTTGAATAAGCTGCTGAACTAATTTGTTTTCATTTTGCATTGATGCTGAAATTTATCATAAAAATCATATTCAAGTGATAGAAATAGGTTCTTATGTCTGAATTTGAATATGTGAGCCTGGGTATAAGCATTCTCTGCACTTTCAGTATGTGCTTTTGATGTTTAAAATATTTTTTGTCTTTTTGATCGCCATTTGCGTTGTATCTTTGTACTCTAGGCCCTCTCCTTTACCACTTTGAAAACCTGGGAAATGAACTTTCTATAGAACTAAGCTATGAGGATATAAAAAATGTTATATTGCAATATGGATTCCATATAGAGGTAAGAAGATGCTGTAGTTTGCAATGAGTAGTAGTGGTATAAACCAGACAAACTCCTTTGAATAAACCTTTACCTTAAATTTAGATCAACGTAATGGCATATACTAATAATGTCTAGAAGAATTAAATGTTCAAAAGTGTGTTGCAAATTATTTGCTTTCCTTGTTTTTGTAAAAACTGTATGGATGGGCCTTGAAATCTAGTAATTAATAGCAATTTCTTTCTTATTAAGAGAAACTTATATAGTTCTTGTAAAATGGTGTTTTGAAAACTGCTGCTTTATTTTTTTAGGTGGAGAAGGAATCTGTACTGTCAACTTACACTGTGAATGAACTCTCCATGATGAAATACTACTATGAATGCGTGTTGTTTGTGGTGAGAAAACCAGAATAGGAGTGGTCTGCATAGGATAATCAGAAAAAATGTTGGCTTGAAAGCTAGAAATTGGAATAAAACGGACTGGGTGATGTCTGGACACAACCTCAAATCAGTGGTGCCTTCTTACTCGTAATAGGGTTTAGATAGTGTCTATTTTCTTAATATCTCTAGTGCTATCCAGACATGTACTATGCCATGCATATTTGTAATATAGTTGTGAAAATGGATGAGGAAATGTTCACATACACTGTCTTTGTGCTTTGGAATGCATTAAAAATAAAAGCAAAAAATGTTTTATTGAGAATAATATTTAAAGTTTGCTATAATAGGCTAATGCTCCGCATATGCTGCCTCATTTTTCATAGATTTATAATGATTTTCTTTTTTCTACTTTCTGATGTTAGTAATACGTAGAGGTGCTTACTGTACTAGCTGTGTCACATTTAGAGAGCTATTTCTAAACATATTCTTAAATTATGAAGTCTGAAATGGTTGGATGAAATTATTCTTGATAGATACAATAGCCATCACAACTGTTACAGCATTTTCTGTGGAACTGAAATGAAGTACATTATTATTCAGATTCTAATCTTTTACTGTATCACTGTTAACAATTTAATCAAAACACAGAACTTACAGGCAATTTGAAATACTATGTGAAAGCAGAGTACTGAGTGAAGAAAAAGCAGCATGTCACAGAGAAGTGGTATGTTAACCTCAGTTCAGGAATAACACCAGTTTTGATTAATCTCTGAAGTCTTGAAACTGCAATGTGTTAGATGCCTTGCCATCTTAAAATACATGGATTTTGAGTCACCTACTTACTGCTTAAGCCAAAACAGTAAAGCAGTACTTTCTGTTAAACATAATTAACAGAAAGTCATGTTACACCTTGAGCTCTTTTCTTTATTTTGGAGTTAATAGCATAGCTTAGTTGTCCATGCCATGTGTAGGTAGGGGCAACAGAAAAATCCCTGTTTCTCCAAGGGAAAAAAAAAAACTTACATGTTAAGTGTCATAGAATGCTTTGGGTTGGAAGGGACCTTTAGAGGTCATCTAGTCCAGCCCTCCCCTGCAGTGAGTGGGGACATCTTCAACTAGACCAGGTTGATCAGAGGCCCATTCAACCTGGCCTTGAATGTTTCTGGGGATGGGGCCACCACTACCTCTCTAGGCAACCTGTTCCAGTGTTTCACCACCCATATTGTAAAAAAATTTTTCTCATTATATCCAGTCTAAATCTCCCCTTCCTTAGTTTAAAGCCATTATCCTATCGCAACAGGCCCTGCTGAAAATATTTTCCCCATCTTTCCTATAGGCCCCTTCAGGTACTGAAAGGCTGCTGTAAGGTCTGCCCGCAGCCTTCTCTTCTCCAGGCTGAACAGCCCCAACTCTCCCAGCCTTTCCTTACAGGAGAGGTGCTCCAGTCCTCAGATCATCTTTGTGGCCCTCCTCTGGACCCACCCCAATAGCTCCATGTCCTGCTTGCGCTGGGGGCTCCAGAGCTGGATGCAGGACTCCAGGTGGGGTCTCACTAGAGCAGAGTAGAGGGGCAATATGTGCTGTAACCTAATCATCTGTACCTGAATCAGCATATGCAGGCTAGTTGGTAGAAAATTTCCTTGAAACTTCAGGCACTTAACATTTGTGATGTAGTGAGTTCTTGGTTCCCTGTCCTAATGTTTTTGGTTTTTTTTTTTTGTTTTTTTTTTCCTGGCAGGTGTGGCTTAGATGAATATTTAATGTACAAATTATGATACTATACAAGAGGCTAAATCTTCTGTTACTTAAAAATTAGGTGTACTAGAAAAAAATTATCACTGTGCTGAGAGGAGGTGTCATGTTAGCCATTTTTTTCTCAATATATTGGTTGCCTTCAGTACGATTTTCATTCATTTTCCAAAAAATCTAAAATCTAAAAACATTATGATAAAGAAACAATGATATTTTTTTTTTCATATTTGGTCATAATGGTACTGGACAATAGCTTGTTTGTTTCCCATTATTTCTAGTCCCTTTTTTCGTGGTGGTGTCCTAATCACATTTTTTTAATAGATGCGTTACTAGCTTTTGCATTTTTCCCATTAAGGCCAGAAGTTTGTGCCTTTTTTCCTAAATTGAAAGTCTGCAAGGAAGGAAAACACAAACTTTTTGTTTTTGTAGTTTAGACACTGCGTAAGGGAGCACACGCCTGGGTATGTTTCAGTACTGTCCCCTTCTGCTCTGAATCTTAATTCAGAATAAAGGCTTCTCGTCTACGGAAGTTTTCAGTTGGAGCTTTGCTGAAACTAGTCTTACCTGAACTCTCCTTTCAAACTGCACCACTGAGACTTAGCTCCATAAATGAACTGTCAAAGTTTGACCCGGCTCCAGGAAAAATGTGTTTAAGCTGAAACACTGCCATTGCAACAAGTGGATTAAAAGCCCTTGCACACCTAAAAATAAGATAGTTGCTTTAATTTCCTTATTGTACTGTTTACTTTTCTTTTGAGGAACTTTGTGATTCCTGGCTTTCATTCTGATTTTTTTTTTTTTTTTTGCCTTGGGTAGAATATGATTAGTCTTTTACTTGATTGTCAAGCTCCTTGCTACAAGGCTAGGTTAGATGAATGTCGATTATGCCGTTGCTGAGCACTATGTGTATGTGTAATGCTGCCCGGTTCCTGCCCTGCCCATCACCATGTGCGTGGGCCTGCGGTGCTCTTGTTCTTACTGCGTAGGCGATGAACCCTCGCTTTTTGGCTGACTGTCAGAATCCTTTGGCCTGGTGGTTTTGTTCTTTGCCACCCCACGCTGTTACAGGTGCCATTTTTTGTGTTGTTTTTGGAAAACATGTTCTTACTTACGTCAGGTGTATAGTGATGTGCTTCTGTTTCTCATCTAGAAAATGCCAGTCTCCTCCTAAAGCGCAACGGTCGCGTTACGAGCTGGAAGCAGAGTAATCTCGTGAATGAGCTGCGTGCATCAGTAGTGTTATACCTGCCGCTCTAATTTGTGAGGGCTGAAAGTGCATCACTTGTGTTTTTGTGCAGGGGGATAACTGTGTATTGTTGGATGTGATCACCTTCTTCAGTTGTATACACCGGGGGGGTGGGGTGGGGACACGCTCACGGTGCGTTGCCAGCCGCAGGCAGGACCGCGGCGCGC